TCGAGATCCCAGTGGGCACTGCCGGACCTCAACCGCGACTTCCAGATCCAGATCGCAGTGGGCACTGCCGGACCTCAACCGCGAGCTCCAGATCCCAGTGGGCACTGCCGGACCTCAACGGCCAGATAGAATGCCAGAAGATATGCCAGATAGAATGCCAGAAGATATGTCAGATAGAATGCCAGAAGACATGCCAGATAGAATGCCAGAAGATTTGCCAGATAGAATGCCAGATAGAATGCCAGAAGATATGTCAGATAGAATGCCAGAAGATTTGCCAGATAGAATGCCAGAAGATATGCCAGAACATATGCCAAAATATGCCAGATAGAATGCCAGATAGTATGTCAGATAGAATGCCAGAAGATATGTCAGATAGAATGCCAGAAGATATGCCAGATAGAATGCCAGAAGATTTGCCAGATAGAATGCCAGAACATATGCCAGAAGATATGCCAGATAGAATGCCAGAAGATATGTCAGATAGAATGCCAGAAGATATGCCAGATAGAATGCATCAGATTTGCCAGATAGAATGCCAGAAGATATGCCAGAAGATATGCCAGATAGAATGCCAGATAGAATGCCAGAAGATATGTCAGATAGAATGCCAGGAGATTTGCCAGTAAGAGAATGTATAAATGCCATGGTGGGGATCATTCGAAGTGAAGTAATTGTGATGAAAAAAGTGGTAGCCCCGCAAAACGGAGACCTCCATGTGTAGAAAACTTGCCAGCCTGGGATGGTTTTTTCTATAGCCCATGGTTTGTAGCATATTAGTGGATTTGCTGAAGGATTTGCTGAAGGTCATGGTGTATTTCTATATTCATTCGTAATGAGTCCACAGATCCAGGTGAAAAGCGTTGACATCATCGAAGTGACGGCCAGTCCGAAGAGGATCGTGCGGGTGCAGTCCAACAAGGGCACGGCGGTGGAGATCATTGGGACTGGCACTGTGGCCATCCAGCCGAGCCCAAATTTTGTGATCAGCAATTTTGGCCGCGGTGGTGAACAGGCTATCCTTCGAGGGAGAGTTGCTCAACTTGATGGCTTGCGAACGACCAGAGCAGGGGAGTCGATGCGAAGCATGTTGCTTGTGGACTCGCAGGCGACGGGGCTTCCTTGCATGGTTCATGGCGCGTTGAGCGAGGATGAAGATGTTCTTCAAGAAGGTGCTTCTCTTAGTTTTCTTCCAGTCATTCAGAATTCTAAGACTCAGAAACCAGAAGCCATACATATCCTTACTGGAACATGATAGCGGCCATCCCAGTCATAGGCTAAAAGTATATGTAAAAGTAGCCTCCGGTGTCATCAATTGATATAGAATTTAATATAAACATATAGCAATTTAATGGAAATTCCCCATGTGTGCATTGCTGTCCCATATTTGTTTCCATTAAAACCTCCATTGAAAAAAAGGTGATTCTCCCGCCATGGGCATGATTTCCAGGTGTTGCCACGAGCTGGTGATGAAGCTGTAGTGGTTCCACAGCTGAAGACCAAAATGGGATCAGTGGCTGATGGTAAAAACACGCTGGTTGTCCTTTGGTAATCAAAAGTAGCAATGGAAAATCCCAAAGTTATAGATCATTTTCTCATTAAAACATCAATTTATAGTAATTTATAGATGATTTTCAATTGCCATGTTGGATTGCTGGAGGGTATGGTTCCATGTTACTTTAGGGGTGTACATCCAACATGTCATGGTTCAGTACTGACCAGAAACTTACCCAATCCATCGGATTCCCCCCATGATGACCATACCTTCCCTATACAATCCCAATACACCAGAACTTGTCAAACCGAAAATTTGCATCTGGTGTATGGGGATTGTATAGGGAAGACCCGTTTGATATTGGTATATCTATAGGATGCTTTAGGAATGTCCTATATTTATGACATGTCAAAACCAAGATATCTGAAAATTCCCTCCGATCGATCCAACGACCCGTGCTGTCTTGGCTGTAGCCTGCTGTGAAATTCACAGGCAGCGCTTGATTTTAACGCGCAAAACAGATGGCTTCGACATACAGCATGTTTTTGCACAATGCTATTGGAAGACAAGCCCACTTTGACTTCGATTGATTTGTAAAGTGCTATTGAAACCATGAAATGAGTTCTGAGTGAATGCCCGCAAGCCATTGAGGGGACACCAAACAACAGTACCACCACAGCACAGCGTTCATAAGTTGAAGCCCAGAGTCTTTCATCTTCGGCAATCCCAGTCAGTAGTGGACATGTTGTGTTTGTTTCCATTGTTGTGTGCGTTACTATAATATAGACACCTATATAGGCTATACATACAGTCTATAGATAAAGAATCATATATATATATATACATATGACGGCCCGGAACCGAGTCCTTCCAATCGGGAATCGATCACAACCATTGGCGTAGCCGCCCCTGGGCCGGGCTGTGGATGATCACCGCCAGCCATGGATCGCATGATCTTGTCGATTTTCACAGGAGGATCTGGATGGAAATGGGTCCAGCTCCAGGGATATCCACGGAGTTTCCTGCCCGGTTAACGACTAAAAAGCCACGCTTTTGAAGTGGCCTTTGTTAGAAATTTGCAGAACCAGAGGAGCTGGGAACCAGTGATGGCTTGACCATCACTGAACGATCCCGAAACTTTTCACTGGGATGATGGGGAGTTTTTTTTCGACCACCGAAGTTCCAAACTGTTAAGGTCATCGGTTCCGCCCCCTGCGATCCCGCACAACTGGGTGTTTGTGTGTGTAAAACCATGCAAGAAGCCAAGATTTGGTATCTTTAGTCTTGTTAGTCTATTTTATCACATATAAGTCTATATACTTAATATTCACCAAGATTTGCATAGGATTTCCCAAACATCTGATCGAGAAAAGACCAGACCAAAAATAACAAGTGATACCGGGGGAAGGTAAGTGCATACTATTGTCACAAGATTCATGATAGCCGATAACCTGCAAGGTTGCTGTCACTTGAAAATTGGAGATCGATATAGGCTCCCATCACATTTGAAACCCCCATTGTTGTTGCTGAAACGATAATTCCCCATTGTTTCTCCTCAAATTAAATAGTGGTAGTACCGTACGTGGCACGACCCATATGGGTTCGTTTCAAAATTGTAGTTCTCCAAATACAATGCTTCATCATTATCTATCCTTGGACATAAAGCTGCCTTCTTGGGGTATGCACCATGTCTTGACAAATCACACATGTGTATATATATATAACTATATATATACATATCCATCATACCGCTGTTTTTTCTATGTCCCATGATATCACACGAAATAGTTTGTGCTACACCATCATTCAATCCTGATATCACAACTCATTTCATCCATCATCCTCGAGCACCAATATTCCTTGTAGATAAATGTCCCATTGTTGATGGCATAAACCGTTAGTGGTACATCCCATTCCATCCACTCTAAGGTTGCTTCTATACCACCACTTTCGTTTATTATATTCCTCATTTACATCCCAACATTGTTGCTTAAATACTTTCGTTCATTATATTCCTGATTTACATCCCAACATTGTTGCTTAAATATAGTATAATTATACAATGACAATGTTGTTCAACTTATTAATGTTTAGATACATGCATATATAATTATGTATATATATACATATATATATACATATATATATACGCATGTATGAATATGTATATATATATATACGTGTGTATATTATGTGTATATATATATATTATGTGTGTATATATATATTATGTGTGTATATATATAAGTGTATATATATATATATATTTAAGTGTATATATATATATATTGTACATCCCCTAAAAACATATGCGCCATGGGCAGTTCCACGGTTCATTTCCAGTCCTTGGGGGTCCTCAATCCATCTTCAAAGGGATTGAAACAACCCATGATGTCTAGATTCCAATCATGGGATGGTTGAACAAACCCCTATATATATATGTATATGGACATGTCCAAGATAACTCACCAAAAATATGGGAATATGTTTGAACATCCCATATTTCATCTACTTCAGGATGATTCCATACATATATTATATATATATATATGATATCAATTTTCTAACTAAAACCATGGCACATTTTTAAAATGTGTTCATCTTGCCGGTTTCACCCCGGCTTCATCTCTAGTGTCGTTCAGGAGGCCTCTGCGCGTGCTGCAAACCCGAGATGACCAGCTCCGTCGCCATGGACATTTTGCAGCTGAAGTCCTACCAAGACGAGTGGGTCGCTGGGTCGGTTTTAACGGGACCCGGGACGACCTTTAAAAGAGCTTCTCCCCACCACATCCCATAGGATCCATGGTGCTGGTAGATTTATGCTAACATGACTGGGGTATATTGACGGGATCCATGTTACCATATATAGCACACATGGATCCTATGGGTATTTGCCTGATGATCCCTGACTCTTATTTGTCAACGGCTCAATGATACAATCACAGCAAAATACGAAAGTGAATTGAGAATCATCAGCACAGGTGGGGATGCAAACAACATGTTTTCTCCACCACCAGCAGTGTTTCCTGATTCCAGGGGTGAAACTGTTGGGAGATTCCAGGTGTTTAGTTGTATGGGTACGGCAGTTGTGCAGTTGTGCGGGGTGTTTATCGGATAGTTATGTCATTCGCTGGGATCACAAAACATCTTTGCAATCCAAAACGGAGTTGAGAAAACCCCACGGTGGTTGATTGGGGGATGAAAAAGCTCCATTTTCAGTCCGGTGATTTATACCATCTGGTTATTTAACATAGCCATGGAACATCACCATGCTATTAATATAAACCATCTATTTCTATGGGCCATCTATACCATGGCGAACTGTTAGTCATAACCAGAGGGCAACCATTAAGATGATCCCATTATGGTTGATTGGGGGATTTATTGGGGGATTAAACCAGAGAGTGGGATGATGGAGATGCCAAATAACCATGGAGTTGGCGTCGGCTTTCACGATGGTTAAACCAACCTGTTTCTTCACAGTGCCAACAGTTGCTGATTGTTGCGTAGTACTCTGAAAATAAGCTAGCCACATGTTGCTTGATCATAATTTTACGCACCAAAATTGCATTTTTGGGGTATACCCTCCTGGAATCTAATGTAATGTACAGTAGATATGGAAAATGTCGAGTTCGTAGATGATTTGCATTTTAAAGATTATGCTTCTTCATAGCCATCTTATATAGATTACCAGAAGCTATTCCCCACTTTTAAAGAAACCCAACTATCAAATCAAGTTGCTTATAGATATCCCAATATGTCCCAATCATAGATGGTAGACCCCGATTTATTTCGATCCCTCATGCCGCGGCAAGCAAAACCTGGCCGCCGGCCCTAGGACCGGACCCAGCGGCAAATGGATTTGGCCAAGCGCGATCAACAGAGCAAGGAGCAGGACTTGGGAGATACGCTCGCGCGGTGTCATCAAACGTGGCTGGCGTGGTGGTTTGGAACATGTTTTTTTTTGTCCATTCAGTTGGGAATAATAACCCCAACTGACTTTCATATTGTTCAGAGGGGTTGAAACCACCAACCAGTTGAAAAATGCTGGAAAATGGAGCTTTATAGCCGAGAAAAACATCGATCTACCGGAGGGTATGCAAATTTCGGTGTTCCACTGCTCAAGTGAACCATTTTCGGTGTTGCAAGGCCTCGAAGCCCAATCAATAAATGGCAAACTTTGACACATCTTGAAAATTCTACACGAAATACCCTACCCCACGAAATCTTGGTGTTATAGGGCTATTTGACTAGATGAAATTAAATTCAACTCTTTAAATATAGATATCCCATGACATCCCCATCATGGTATCCCCATATCCTAGTAAATCCGATAGTAAATCCCATAGTTCTCCCACCAGGACATCCGCGACAAGGCCGCCAGCCGCGCCGCCGAGCTTGCCGAGCTCCGGGGTCCTTCCACCTCTGTGGAGGCCGCGGGCAAGGTGCCGCCCGTGCTTCCAGAAGTGGAGCAAAATGAGCAGGTCATCACTATGAATCTCTGAGGCGACGTCCGTGGTGCCCGTGGTGCCCCAGCTAGTGGCCTAAAAAACAATATGTTTAGCCCCGGCTAAAATTTGTTTTGTTAAAAAATGGCGAAGATGATTAAAGTGAACAGGAGAAACTCAGAACGTAGCTCAGATCGAAGTTTTCACGTTGGGATTATACACCTTAACTTATCACCGTATGATTGAGGGGGCACCACCTTGAATGTGAATCAGATCACATGTTGATGCCGTTGATGTGCCAAATTCCTGTGAATTGGCAATACATATATACATACATATATATATATATTTATTGTATATATAGTATTATATAGTATATATATATATTATTATATATATGGAATGGGCTAACGCCGTGGTGCCGCCGACCCCCTTTCAAGGGTGGAGGAAGGAGAGCGTATGTCCCTAAAAGCTGCGGATTGAGGAAGTATATTTCCTGCAAAAGCGTGCCTGTGGCCCAAAAACACATATAAGCTTTAAGCAGTTCAAGTAGGAACAACATGTCTTGCGGAGAAAGGTCCACAAAGAGAGCAGCATCAAGTAATGTATAAATATAATTTATGTGATCATTGAAGTCATGTTATGCACAAGAAAACATATTGCAAAAGGCGCCCCAGAGTCTAAGATCCACAGCTCCTGTGCGCCGTTTGTATCTTTAGGGGTTTGAGGGGTTTGAGGGCTGGCAAACGGCAGGCTTGAACGCCCTTAACAACAGAGGGCAGTGGCCTGACGGCTGGCAAACGGCAGGCTTGAACGCCCTTAACAACAGAGGGCAGTGGCATGAGTGCCTGGTCGAAGCTGCCGCGGAGCATTTTACAGGTTTTAGGGGTTTGAGGGGTTTGAGGGCTGGCAAACGGCAGACTTGAACGCCCTTAACAACAGAGGGCAGTGGCTGAGTGCCTGGTCGATGCTGCCGCGGAGCATTTTACAGGTTTTAGGGGTTTGAGGGGTTTGAGGGCTGGCAAACGGCAGACTTGAACGCCCTTAACAACAGAGGGCAGTGACCTTACGGCTGGCAAACGATGAACGCCCTTAACAACAGAGGGCAGTGGCATGAGTGCCTGGTCGAAGCTGCCGCAGAGCATTTTAGGGGCCTTACGGCTGGCAAACGACAGGCTTGAACACCCTCAACAACAGACGGCAGTGGCATGAGTGCCTGGTCGTAGCTGCCACGGAGCATTTTAGGCATTTTAGCGGTTTGAGGGGTTTTAGGGGTGTGACGGCAGGCTTGAACGCCCTTAACAACAGAGGTCAGTGGCCTTACGGCTGGCAAACGACAGGCTTGAACGCCCTCAACAACAGACAGCACTGGCATGAGTGCCTGGTCGAAGCTGCCACGGGGCATTTTAGGGGTTTTAGGGGTTTGAGGGCTAACAAACGGCAGGCTTGAACGCCCTTAACACCAGAGGGCAGTGGCCTGACGGCTGGCAAACAGAGGGCAGTGGCATGAGTGCCTGGTCGAAGCTGCCGCGGAGCATTTTACAGGTTTTAGGGGTTTGAGGGGTTTGAGGGCTGGCAAACGGCAGACTTGAACGCCCTTAACAACAGAGGGCAGTGGCCTTACGGCTGGCAAACGGCAGGCTTGAACGCCCTTAACAACAGAGGTCAGTGGCCTTACGGCTGGCAAACGGCAGGCTTGAACGCCTTAACAACAGAGGGCAGTGGCATGAGTGCCTGGTCGAAGCTGCCGCGGAGCATTTTACAGGTTTTAGGGGTTTGAGGGCTGGCAAACGGCAGGCTTGAACGCCCTTAACAACAGAGGGCAGTGGCCTGACGGCTGGCAAACGGCAGGTTTGAACGCCCTTAACAACAGTATAGGCAGTGGCATGAGGGCCTGGTCGAAGCTGCTGCGGAGCATTTTAGGGGTTTTCAGGGGTTTGAGGGCTGGCAAACGGCAGGCTTGAACGCTCTTAACAACAGAGGGCAGTGGCCTGACGGCTGGCAAACAGAGGGCAGTGGCATGAGTATGTGGTCGAAGCTGCCGCGGAGCATTTCAGGGTTTTAGTGGTTTGAGGGCTGGCAAACGGCAGGCTTGAACGCCCTTAACAACAGAGGGCAGTGGCCTGACAGCTGGCAAACGGCAGGCTTGAACGCCCTTAACAACAGAGGGCAGTGGCATGAGTGCCTGGTCGAAGCTGCCGCGGAGCATTTTACAGGTTTTAGGGGTTTGAGGGCTGGCAAACGGCAGCTTTGAACGCCCTTAACAACAGAGGTCAGTGGCCTTACGGCTGGCAAACGACAGGCTTGAACGCCCTCAACAACAGACGGCAGTGGCATGAGTGCCTGGTCGAAGCTGCCGCGGAGCATGTTAGGGGTTTTAGGGGTTTGTAGGCATTGTAGGGGTTTGAGGGCTGGCGTTTTAGGTATTTTCGGAGCTGGCGAACGGCAAGGTAGTGGCAAGCCAACAAAAACAGGCTCCACACCTGCGGTGGTCCCAGGCGCCGCCCCTGCCTTGGTGAAGGCCGGGGTCGGCGGATATATATAGTGTATATATATATATAGATAGTGTATATATATATATTAATATATAATTATATATCAAAATAGATTGTGACTTATGGACTATCACCATGAATTTGATGTGCAAATGTTGCATGAAATATCATTGTCCAAGCAACTTAATATATATATATATTATATTATAATGCATGCACATATTATAGAATAACAGTATCACGTGGGGTTGTCCAAAAATTGAGGATGCACCACAAAGGTAGTCTTCATGGGAAAGATGATGATAGTCTTTGGGCATAACTTTCCCATTTTCAAACAAACCCATTCTCATCAGACTTATCACCACTATACCATTCCCAAACCTTCCAGGTACGTCTGAGATAAGGTAACCAGAGTCATTTTAGCCCATGATTTCGGGGTTGGCTGCCTATCTGACACGTAGCTGAAAGATAAGGGATTGATTGAATTGATGTCCCAAATTCTCATTGAACTATCACCATCTAAGTATCATATCATGGCACCAGAAATCAGGCTCTGGAATTCTTGCAGATTATTCATATATAGATGTTCTAATTTCCCTCGCTTGGTTGATGAACATAGGTATGACGAAGCGAGGATCAGCGGGAATTGGCGAGATCAGCGTGTCGTAGCCGTAGCTTCACATTTTGAACATGGGTTGGTGCGAAATTGTTTTCAACAAGATCCAGTTGGAGCCAAGTGGGGTAGCTGCTGGTAGTGCACCCGTTTTTCATTATGAAAAAAATGAAAGCGCATGGTGACTTAGTGTAAGTCTAACCAAATAATCCCATCCCTCTAATATGAAACATCCCAGGGTATGTTTCCAAATATGTGGTGACTCATCGCTATATTCGCTAATGGTGACTCTTTGGGGTGTGTATTATATCGGCTGAACCTGGGGAAGTCGTTGTTTCCAAATGTCCCCCAAAAAATGTCCCATTACTAACCGTAAAATACACCATCATTCACAATCATTAGCCAGCATAAATCAATTTATTCATCAGTAATGTGAGTAAAGCAATGGTAAAACACACCCAATTTTGCCACAAATGGATGGTATAAACCATCAAAATATGGGTGGTTTATTATTGCTTTACCCAAATGATGAAGCAGTAACCCCTATGAATCATTCTAAATCTGCAATTTTCGTGCTCTTCGGACATGTTCAATGAGCCCAACCCTCAAGGGTAGCTGTGTCAGGGGAGCGTAGCTTCCGGAGGTTGCTTCAGTTCCACCGTATCCAGCATCTGCCATGGACATGATTGGTAAAGGAGCCCTCAGCTAGCGACTTATGGGGCGATCTTTCAAGTCATTTCATGTTATATTCATGTATATATATATATTATTATATATATAATGTATGTATGTATTCATAGGAAATGAATTTAGATGATTTTATTATGATATAATTGCAAAATAAGCACATGAGTTTCAAAAAAGATGATCAAACAAGTTGAAATTTCGTCGTTCCGAATGGGCGAGCCTTCGTCACCATCTCACCATCTCACCATTTTGTTGAGATTAATGGCATGTTGTTGCCATCTCACAAATGTAAGACGGGGAATTGTCTCACCATTATACATTTGTTTTCCTTTGGAATGAGGAAAATATTGTTGACAGGGCACGCAAGTCGAGCAACCTTTTGATCTGCAAAATCTGGAGCTCTCCCAAGCAGTTCAGATTCCGCCGCTGCGAGGGGTTTGTGGTGAAACCGATGGGCCTAAGAATGGAAAGGGGTGAAACGAAAGGGTAACCAACACTTTTTTCGTATGGATGAGACATGTCGACCCCGGAAAGCCATTGATTTTCCAGCTTTGTGGAAGCCCAGATTTTAGGATTTACCTAAGGTTGACCCACAGCCAGCTAGTTGGTTGCTGTATGCTATATATATGTACATATATGTACATATACATATATATATATATATGCACCAGGCCCTGCCACCCCCCTCCCCCCCATGGGATGGGTCCCACATATTGCCCCCATATGAGATCTTCCCCCTTGCCCCTGTGGTGTGGTGGGGGTGTGGTATGGTATGTTGGGTTTGATGGTGTGTATGGTCGGTCTGGTATGGCATGTTTGGAAAGTATGGTATGTATGGTAGGTATGCTATGTATGGCATGAATGGTTGGTATTGTACGGATGGTAGGTATGGTATGCAAGTCTGTTGGGTATGTTATGTTTGATATGACAGTATGTATGGTCTGTATGGTGCGTATGGTTACTATGTAAAGTAGGTATGGTATGTATGGCATGTATGTTTGGTATTGTATGTATGGTAAGTGCGGTAGTTATGTTTCATATGTATGGTATGTGTGGTATGTATGATAGGTATGATAGGTATGGTATGTATGGCATCATTGGAATGTATGGTAGGTACGGTATATGTTAAACACATGTAGTGTTGTGAGAGTACACACGTAGTAAATAGGAAGTAGATACATAGCACATGTATATATGACTATAGGTAGCACGTAGGTACTTTGAGGGAGTATGTGTGCTACGTAGATCGTCTAAAAGGTAGCATGTACCTAGTAAATGCGAGGCTGGTAGTCAGAAATGCTGCAAAGACCTAGCAAAAACGAAGCTGGACCTCAGAAATGCTGCCAATAGCCTGCAAATAGAAGGGAAGGGGGTGCTACCTGGGGACCCAACCCATTTGGGGGGGAGGGGAGGTGGAGAGACGGAGGACGGGACCATATATATATATATATATATCAGTATATGTATATATATATATATGTGGGTATATATGTGTTGTGTTTTTTCTCAGGCTAGCCCTTTCGAAAACAACCTGAGTAGAAGGAGCAAAACAAACAGTGAGCTACGAAGCTACGAAGCTACGAAGCGTGATGACATGCTGATGACTTGCGGTTAGCATTACAATGAGCATTGTAATGATTATTCTCATATTATTATCATGCTAATGTATTATTATCATTTTATCATCATATTAATTTGAATAATCATGATTTCACCGTATGATAATGTACATTATATAATGATTATTATACTAGAATCAGTATTATCATGATTCTGATCATTGTCTCATTGTGATGATACGGATTATTATGTTCATTGATTCACCCAATGGTCGATCTGTAGGCCCAATGGGACATGGGGCCCATGATTGGCTTTATCACACGCACGTATGTATATATGGGGGTTTCCATAAATGGTGGTATTTCATTAAATGGGATGGTTTAAAAGTGAAAATCCATCTATAAATGGATGATTTGGGTGTACCCCCCATTTTAGGAAACCTCTATATATATAATCATAGCATTTGAGGATCTTGTGCAGGTTCAACATTCTTCGGAGAAGTAGCAAAAACACATATCCCAAACCACTGAGGAAATCATATCCATTTACATCATAGCTATGGAAAGTCACCATTTTGCATAAGTAAATCACCTATAAAGGGTCTCTGTTTTCCATACAAAGTGGTGCCCCCCAGTTGTAAGTTGGTTTATACACCGTAACAATTATTTCAAATTATCTACCATAAACATCGATAAATATCTATTCTCCATAGCTATGTTAGTTTACTGGACGGTAATCCATAGTAGCTCTCCCCCCTGCCTAAACCACCACCCTTGCATTGCAGCGGAAAGTCTCACCACCAGAGCCATGGACATTTTCCGGATGTTTGCAACAAATGGAGGATGATTGTTGCTATCATGCTAAGAAATGACATTTTGGCAGCGTATCTAAGTATGCCATTGGAAGACATCCCGGAGAAATGGAGAGAAGAAGTTGCTCTCACTGCTATGCACCAGATCACCTGAGGGACGTTTTCTTGATCATTAGTGGATTCAGTATTGACTTATGGTTTCAATCTGGATTGAGGGGCAGAGCAATGAATGATGATTCATGAGTACACTATTAGACTATCTATCTATCTATCTATCTATCTATCTATCTCTATATATATGTATATATATATGTACAAATATATATATAAAGATGCATATATATATATACATATATATATATACACATATATATATGTATTTATATATATATGTATATATATATACACATATATATGTAGATATGTAAATATATTTATATGTACAGAGATGATATTAGATATGTTTTCATGAAAGTAGTGTCAACCACCTTTCTTTGTTTGCTGAATTAATGGACTTGAGTTGAACCTGCAAAGTATGTGAACAGTTGGTAGGTAGGATTTCAGTGAGTGATTTGAAGAAAGGAGGCCTCCAGCAAAAATAGTAAGTTTAATGTGACCACCAATTTTTTGTATAGTCACCTATTGTATCAAATCAAACCAACAAGATATGAAAGAAATTCACATCTGTTAGGAAATTGACCTTTTGTGGACCAACTTGTTCAAAGAACAGCGGGTCATTTCTGAATCTAAAGAAAACTGCCCCGTTAAACACATGCAGAACTGATGCATAACCCCAAAAGATGATGCGCCGAAAAGTGAGACGGAGTTCGTCATGAGTGTCCACATTTTTTTCAGAGATTTTTGCACGAGGGGATCCAGTAGGATTAGTTATCCACCATGATTTATATTGGAAACATTGGAAAAATATATGGAAACATGGAAGTTATTTCATGTTTTGCATATAAAAATCCCATGTTTCCATGACTTTTTCAGAAAGACCAGCAAAAAATCGCCGGACCCTCAGGCGCGACCTATGGTGATTTTCAGTGGATGGCCGCCTGAAAGGATGTTGGCAGCTGTCAGGCGTGCCGTTGAATGGTTGGTTTTTCTGTTGGTTTGTTCGATGGGGATTACACGGGATGATAAATCGGGAATCCCATGAGTATTTCGTTTTTTTTAAACTGTTTCAAGCAGCAAAGATCTCTGGATTCTGGATATATAGGGACATAACTGTGACACAACTGAGAAATGAAGGTTGGTTGATGATTGGTTCGAGGGCCATACTACACAAAGCTACCCCAATGTATTAGGGATGTGGGGAAACCCCCCCAAAAAAAAGGAAGTATGCAAATGGAATGACAGAGGGTTTGGAATACTGCATATACGGGTTTGAAATAGAGAATAGGGTAGCTCATTCCATCCACTGGCACTGGGAGACACGCTCACTAACCATCCATTGTGAGGAATTGTTCATGATATTCCCGTGTTTGGTTGATGTATGGCTATGGGTCAAAACCTATTACCCTCAGCGAATCAAACATGGCTGGAAAATCCCCTCTAAAATCCCCTCTACGTCGAGGTTATAGTTGGGAAATTTATCCATAAATGGTGGAATGTTAGGGAATGAACATCCGCAAGTCCCAGCTATTTTGGCACCAGGGTAGCAATGTGAACTGACCCAAAGCCATATTGAAGACCAAGCATTTGGTTGAAGCAAAAAAGGGACATCACCGCAACATCTCAAGGGATGACAATGGTGACAATGCGGGAACTGTCCCAAAATGGTGGGAACTTTTCGGGAGGGTGAATTAGTCAAATTTGCCAGGACCATATCTCCATAATTCATACAATTAATGTATAAAAATTGGTAACCATCCTTTTTTTAACAGTACTTAGATAAATAGATCGATAGAAAGATAGATAGATAGATAGATAGGTCGATTGATAATTACACATTGGTATACTATACATAATATATATATATATATATCTAGTCAAAACTCATTTTGAGTGATAATGTCACATGATTTCATGCTGATTTCAGGCTGAAATCTTCCTGGATAATTAATTATGCTGTATCTCTTGAAGATATCCCGTCAGATCGTTTTTTGCCAGTGTCATTTTAGATTCAATATGTGGTTAATATATGGTTGTGATGATGGTTAATGATTAGATTCACAAATCGAATTATCCGGAGGATTGCAGTTGCTCCCACGAATCTGATGAAAATGGCTGTCCATTTAGGTCCCTACTTGTGAAGCAACCAGCTTCATCATTGGATATACCCTCTGGTTATGACTAACAGTTCGCCATGGTTTTTCGATGGGCCTAATCGAAA